TACTTCAGGGAATACGAGTATTAGCTTCGGAAGCTTTTTCTTGTCATTGGCATACAAGCAATCCTCCTACTACTACTAGTACATGTACACTGGCACTGCGTTTGTGGATCCCATTGTATTTGACATCATACTAGAGGAAGAGTGTCGTGGAGTTTCACATAGTTATCACAGGGATAAAAATACATTTCTCATGAAATAATTATAATAATTGATGATAGCTAGACGATCGTATACGATTGATGCAAAGTCCTTGCAGTCCTTGAGGACTATTACGAAGTGGTTGATTACTTTTAGGGCATTTATTCAAGCAACATCAAACAAACGCGATACGCTCCTTGAAAATGGGAAAAAATTCAAGCATAACGACAGAACAGCAGACCAATCGAAACGAGTAAAAGCTTCCTTACCTCAGTCATCGTCCTGCCATGTAGTTGGACAGCCTTTTGACACGGTGGTACAGGCAGCTCTTGTCCAGTCAAACAGGGGTATCCTTGTGGCGTCGAACGAACGAGAGTGTCAGTGTATCTGACTCGTCAGATTGGAACTGTGCTGAACTTTTCTCTTTCTCCGCTTTCTGCTTTCATCCCTCGCTCTGATGAAACCGTTCAAACGTCTTACTGGCAGCAATGGCCAGCCAAACATGGGATCCTTGTGGCGTCGAACGAAAGAGAGTGTCAGTGTACCTGACTGGTCAGATTTGAACTGTGCTGAACTTTTCTCGTTCTGCAATTTCTGCTTTCATCCCGCGCACTGATGAAACGTCTTCAGAGAACCACAAGACGCTTTCCAGATTTGATTTTGAACGTCTCCTTATCCTCCCTGGTTACCTCGAGACAGATTACTGTCAGCAACTGCACAGCAGAACTGGCAGCCATGGCTGAAGTGAAGAAAGGAATGCGCTGCCACGAAGCAAGCAAAACTGAAAATGTGTTTGTTCTCTTTCGGGCACAACACACAGGACGGCGTGACTGGATAAACTGGACTCCTGGACTGTGAATAGGGGATTTGTAGAAAAAGTGTACTCCTTATAGGGGATTGCGCGGCAGGATGAAGCTGATCAAAACTGAGTGGACTCCTGGACTCTGTATAGTGGATTTTGGACCAATGGACTCTATATAGGGTGCTGGACATCATATAGTGCATGGACTCTATACTGAGTCCTACATATATAACACAGGTATAATTATGCTGAATGCGAACGTTGGCTTGGCGTGGGTTTGACGTGGATTTGAAGTGGGCTGTGTACTGTCCAGTAGGCAGGTGCCACTGTATCTGGCACATCACACCATACATAGACCATCAATGGACCCTGCACCCGTGCACCTGCTACTAGTACTACCGCATCACCCTTTCCCTTCCTTCCCAATACACTGTACATATTCCCTGCTTTCCTTGTTTCAGTGTTCTTTCTGTAATATATGACTAGCTTTTAACTTGTGAAGTTGTATTCTGCCAGTGTGTCAAAACGACACAGCACGGTGTCGGAAGTAAGCCTATAGTTTTGATGTGGGCTTTAACATGGGTTTCCCTGATCATGAGGCAGCCATACCCTACTAGCATACTGCTAACTGCATGCACCCCAGCAACTTTGCCTATGTGGGTTATTTCGGGTGTTAGCGGCTGTCTTGAGTTCTTTGGGAACGGAGACGAAAATGCACTTCTTTTTCATGTTAGTAGGAGGTCCCCAATGTGAAAACCTTGGTAACTGGGTTCACACTTTTGTGCTTCTTTCCCCAGATGCACTGAGCTGGAACAGATGCTGAAGTCATACATGACTGAGTACAAGGCAGTAAAGCGACGCCTAAAGGTATATCAACGTATCTGCTACCCCCCCCCCCCCCCCCCCCGTCCTTCCCTCCTCCCTTCCGAGTGCAACTCCGTGGATGGTCGGCTATGTGCATTTCCAATGGCAACCGCACAGGCAGAAGGTGTCCAATAGATGACTTTGATTGGACTATCCGGTATCATGCACGTAATATGTACACACCGTACATGTAGCTCATTGCCTGTGGCAGCACACTGTTTGCAAGCAGTAGACTGGTGAATATTAAACTTGTCATCTGATCCGCTGGTGGTCGTCGTGGCATTGTGCATTTTCACTTAACTGCACACTGTCCATGACGTGCATGTCTAAGTTGTCCTCAGTAATTGATGTGCTTAGTCTAGATGGTTGTCTGATGAGGATGGGTGATTGCTAGTTTGATAATCATGTCAACCTCTTCACTTTCTGCTGTAGGATGTGCTCGCAACTCAACTCACCTTGCCAAAGATACAAGCTGATATGGAGGTAGAGCGAACTAAATTCCATGAGCAGATTCGAGTTCTTCAGGATCAGGTATGGGGTGAAGGTTTTCGGGACTCTACAATGAATCTGGCTTTACAGGCCCGTGTTGGACATGTGTATGTGCCATTCCTATGCCTGCTACATGTGTGCATGTGTGTGTGTGCGCGTGTATGTGTGCGTGCGTGTGTGTGTTATGTCTAACATAGCTGTTTGCTATTATTGCTTACGCGATGGGCAGGTCTGAGATCTGAGGTCTGATGTGTGTGCGTGGGTGTGCCTGCGCGCGAGTGTGTTTATGCATGTGCATGCGCTCACTGTGTCAAGTAAACTCTTGCCACTTAGTGACTAGTACCATAGTCTTAGACCTCTTACCTACACTTGTCTTGTTCCACACAGTGCATAGAGCCTTGCATGCATTCTGAACTTAGCTACTTATCAAGATGCAAGGTGCGACTCAGAGCAACTACAATCCCTAGGCCTACGGTCACCAAAGAGCTGTTTCAGCTTAAATTGCTCTGTCGACTCCCAGCAGTATGGAACATCCCTGAGGTGAACGTACTCTGGCTAAGATCAGTGGCATGGTTGTGTGTTGTGTTGTGTTTGTGTTGTGTTTGTGTTGTGTTGTGTTTGTGTTGTGTTGCTAGCTGACTGAGTACAACGCACACGTGCAGAATGGTGAAACACGCCGTCACGAGTACAAGAAGACCTGCACTAGACTGAAAGATGGTACGGTGATTGATTGTGAGACTTGTCTGACCGGCTTAACGTTACATTTGCTAAGTTTCTAGTCTGTAGTGATCGCTAACTACCATTTCTCCAGGGATATACTGGGTCCACGGCATAGTAATGCCAGGAACACATCGAACATAGTTGAGTAGTCAATCAGGGCGTGTAGCATCATGACAGCGTATCAATATAGAATTGTTTACGCCTATCACATACCCGAATGGGGAAGCCATATTGCCTCCAGCTCCAGTCAATCCCTGGGTCGGTGGGTCACATGATGTCAGCCATGTTGCTTCAAGACTTCAAGCTCGAGTCAATCCCGGGATTTTTGGGCCACTTGATGTCGGCCATGTTGTTTCCACTGTCCATCTGCCATGTACAGATGTTACTCCAATGTGGTCATAGACAAATGTACAAGTGTGAAATAGCTTTGCATGATATAGGGCGGTGGACTGAGGCACAATAAGCCACCATCGTTCAGTTCTCGCCCACTGCGTGAACCTAGGACAGTGACTGCATATAACAGGTTTTAATCACCACTAGTAACCCCCGCCTCCCCTTTCAGCAGCCATTGCCATGCTTGTCTATCTCTGTCTGTCTGTCTGTCTGTCTCTCTCTCTCTCTCTCTCTCTCTCTCCATCCCTCTCCCTCTCTCTCTCTCTCTCTCTCTCTCTCTCTCTCTCTCTCTCTCTCTCTCTCTCTCTCTCTCTCTCTCTCTCTCTCTCTCTCTCTCTCGCTCTCTCTCTCTCTCTCGCTCTCTCGCTCTCTCGCTCTCTCTCTCTCTCTCTCTCTCTCTCTCTCTCTCTCTCTCTCTCTCTCTCTCTCTCTCTCTCTCTCTCTCTCTCTCTCTCTCTCTCTCTCTCTCTCTCTCTTCTGTGTGTTATTAGAGCTGCGGCATGTCAAGGGTGACCTGGAGAGTAGAAGGCAGCGGGAACAGACGCTTCAAACCGTGAGCTCTACTAACACACAGTGCAGTAGCAAATTTACACTGTTTTGCCCTTATCACGATCATTTTAGACTAAGAATGTTGATGATACGTTGCAAAGGCAAAGAAGGGGATGTGACTTACAATCAAGTATGACTTGCTGCTCATGTGAATGTATGTACACAATTTGGCTCAGACCTGAAAATGGGTTGCGACTTATAGTGAAGTGTGACTTCTAATCGGGGAAAAACGGTATTGCCAAGACAGCATCATGGTAGCACATTCTTCAATAGACTATTCAGGCCCGTAGCACCGACTTTGGAGGTGGGGTGGCCATGGAGGGGGGGGGGGGTCCGGGGCCCTCCCCCGGGAAAGAATGGAAGCCAATTGCACGATATTGCAAGCATTTACGGGCATTTGGTGCCATTTCAGTGTAACTACAATGGAAGACTTTTTGATTCTGCAACAAACCAAGAAAACGCTACGATCGGGGACAAGGATTTTTCCTTACCCTGCCCCGGGAAATTTTTCAAAATTGAAGCCAATTGCAAGCATTTCCAAGCATTTGGTGCCATTTCAGTGTACATGTAACTGCAATCAATGACTTTTTGATTCTGCAACAAACCACGATCGGGACAAGGATTTTTCATTATTTGCCAAGTTTGCGCTGAGCTGCGATCATCGCGCTTTGTTGCAGTGTGCTCCAAAAAAACGGCCAAAAAAGTGGGGCGGCTGCCGCCCCGGCCCTGACAGCCTTGCTAGTGTATGCAGGCAGCCTTGTCACGGTCTCTTTCTCCTAGCTGTGTACTCTATTACCACTGCCCCTGTTATGTAGGCTATAGAGTCACTGGAGGCAGGCAAGGTGTCTGTGCAACATGAACTGGAGGACTTGAAGGTGAGCGTGTGTGTTGTGTCACACATGTTACATACGTGTACCTATCCTGCTACACACGATTACAAATTATCATGGCATGATGTTTGAGAGCCACTGATGAACGTCATGGTGAAGTTGAGAATCTTAGCTAATATGAGCCAGAGCACGCTAAAATATGACCACAGACCAAAAAATTCGATTTCTACTTTTTTCCCAAAAAATGGTCTAGTACACCTAAAGTTCCCTCTCTGAGAGTTTTAGATTGATCCGACATGTCTAAGTGGTGCTATAGTGGTATTATATGTGGCACTATCAGAATTGTGGAATTCTATGTACATTGATGAGATTGTCATTATGCACTCAGTTGGTATGTCACTTGATTCATTCTTTCTGGGGTGTTTACTCCGTCCAGGGTTTTGTAGCCTCAGCTGACAGGTACTCGGCCACATCCTTCTCCAGGTAGCTGAGCCTGGTGTCCGAAATACCTTCTGGTTGAAGCACCACAGGAGAACCACCAGCTAGAACGCGATCAACCGTTGCAGATGTCTGAAGTAGTTGGTATTCGACTTCTTCACCATCACAATCCACCTTCATAAACAACACACCGGGCTTGCCCTTCGTTACTCTGAAGTGTTGGTACTTTGTAATGCCCTTGACGGCCTTGAAGAATTTAGCTAGGAAACTGCTCCAATCCAGCCAATCCCAGCATAGGCGAACAGCAATATTCGCGTCACATGAAGAATCAATAGCAAGCACAACATCTGCCATTGAATCTACCTCAGAGTTTCTGAAGTTCTGCTTAAGCCTGCCAAACTTAGCATCAACACTGCAGCGGGTGTGTCCTACACGCATGAAAGATAAAATTATTTCATCTGACAAACCATGCATCACACGCCAGCACAAGTATGCCATCACTGTACGGTTCTTATTCTGCCCAACGCAGTTGTTAGCATGCATGCAGACCTTGCGCTCTGGAAGAGTTTGCCAATAATGGTGCAGCATGCTAACAACTGCGTTGGGACCGTGTGCTTTAGCCCCATCTTGGCCAATAGATTCAGCTTCGTGGAATATGTAGTTAGACTGCGCGTTCCTAGGCTCATTACAAACACCGAATAAGTGAACTTTAAAGCGAGATTTAAAATAAAGTGGGCCAACTTGTCTAGTGTGGTGCGGGAGCTCAAGCTGTTGTGCGTAATCAAAAGTTACATGTGCAGCTGCCGAGACATTACCAGATTCAGTTGCTTCCACCAGCAACTTCTTGGCATCCGCGATACTTGATTTGTAGAACTCGCGCTCCTTGTCTGCTGCATCGATGTGTTGCTGAAGCCTTTCTACAGCGTCACGAGTCTGCTCTTCTGTTTTTGCAAGCCGTACCTTCTCTCGCATCTTCTCACATCGTGCGCAGACATCTGAACGGCGTTTCATAATAACGATGTTTGATGCGCGTTGCTTCCAGATTTTCCGGAAAGTCGTGAAGCCAAGCGGTCTAGTGTCCTCCATGTCACCATACTTCCTGTACAGCCTTTTCTTAGTCAAACTAGCCGGTAAGTAAATCGGTGCTGGCTTGCCACGGCCACGTGGCGCTGCTGGCTGTGGTATGCCATGACACGATGCATAGTGCTCTAAGAACTGCACTACACGCGTGATAGTGCACTCTGAAATCTTGGTCGGACTACTGGATCCTACACGGCCATGCGTAGGTGGCAATGATTCGTTGTTCTCAACACATTTCATAAGTGAGGTCAAGATAGCCCGTGAGATGCTATGCACTTCCAGATACGCACTGCGGCACACAATCTTGCCCAGCACGCAGTATGTTATACTCATATTCCGGGCACCAGTGCCCTCCTGTACACGGCTTGATCCACTCGCAAGTGAGCCCAAGATGTACTGTTTGCGCTGCCTACTGCCCATGTTAGCCACGTTGTGCATGAGGGCACTCAAATCATCGATCTGAGGTAGTAGCAGAGCCCAGTGATTGGTTTTACACTTGCAGCCAATGCTGGCATTGTCACGGATTTGTGAAGCGATGTGCGCTCTGGACAAATCATCAGCCGACTCACCTCGCAAATCCGTGTCGCTGCCAGTCGCTGCCAGGTCATCATCAGAGTAGAACTCCTCGTCACTCCAGTTACTGGGACTGCCAGCATCAATTCGTTTACGTTCTGCGAATGTGTCGTCCTCAGATGACTCGTCGCTGTAGCCATCATCGTCTGATTCGGACGCGAATCCATAAAATGTTTCGTCCTGCGCATGGAGCGCGAGGATGTCGTCTTCTTCTGCTCCGCAGTACAGCAGACTCTTCCTTCGGTCCATCCAGACGATCCGTAGGTTAGTAGGCGACTCAGCGTAGCATGAAACACAAACTCAAACAAAAAACTTACTTGCAACGAAGACCTGGAATCAAAACTGTCAGTTTCGACCGTGAAGAACAGGAACAGCAACTCACGCGATCGCACGAGTCGAACTCCACTTCGGTTTTTTTTGCCGCGAAATTCAAATCGAGATTTCTCGACTTTTCAAAAAAAAGCTGTGGTCATGTTTTAGCTCGCTCAGGCTCATATGCAAGTACTGTTGATGAGCAGATGTGCAGGTGCTGAGCAGTACAACAACTTCACAATCTTCCGAATGCCATGTGCGTATGCTGTGCATGCTTGCATGTGCGTATGCTGCGCATGCTTGCACGTGTGTATGCTGTGCATGCTTGCATGTGTGTGGCTGTGGCACTGTACATGTGTATGTTAACAGAGCAAGCTTGGCAGCAAGTGGATAGATGCATCAGAGATGCAAGAGTACAAGAGAAAAGTGGAGCTGGAGGTGAGACATGGTTCATGGTGGACATGCACAGCACGCACGCATCTTTCAGAACTAGCCTGGCCAACTGAAAATGAAAATGCTCCGGGTATCTGAAGATGGTCAAGGCAACTAAAAATGGTCCAGGCAACTGAAGATAGTCGAGCCAACTCAGGAAGGTCTGGCTAGCTGAAGACAGTCGGGCCCAGTGCCCTTACCCACAACTATTAACTTTTTTTATTGCTCCGTCATTAAGCCTGGTTCAAACTTTGTTGCCCGTAAGGGAGCCGCGTCACGACACCTGTTGCGACAAAAGGTCCTCTCCAAGCTCATCTTGTTTGTCCCATCACGTGACCGTTGCCATACACATTGCGAAGCATTCGCCGTACCCAAAATAATGTATGGATCGGGCTTTAGCCCTTTATGTACCAGGCAGGCACAGTGGGTTGCCTAAGACCATGATTGAGATACGAGAGAGGTGCCTGGTTCAAGTCCTGCCTGGGAGCGGTTTTTCCAGCCGTGCTGCTACCCACAGTCAACTGGGAACTTGTGGCCAGGCACAAGGGGTACATGGATGCGGCTAATGAGGTTTCTCGGCACTTGTGCCAGTGATTGTGAGACTTATCCCCTCACCCTCACCGTTAGGCACTGCATCTGCCGCTAGGGTTTACCGGGTGTTAGCGGCCGTCGTGAGCTCCCGTCCGGAACGGACACGATAATTTACTCAATTTACTTGTTTTATATAATGTATGTAGAGGGTACCCTACCCCTACACAAACATTAGTTCACAGCTTAGACACAATAAACTATTAGTGGGTACAAGTTTTGGTTTCTCAGGCTACCATGGATTGGGAAATCAGGTCCAACAGTATGTAAGTCAAAACGTGATACCGTACCCACGCGATTAGAGCCCTATCTTGAATAGTGCCCCAGTCTCTAAAAGAGCCAGTGAATAAAATATAGCCCTCTCTCGAATAGTGCCCTCCCCCGGCCCCCGGGCTTGTAACCAAGCGCATGTGCAATTTTTTATGGTGTACTTTTGCTACTATTCTTGTCCATGTCATTGCACTGGTAGTTTCTTCTTTGGTTTATGCCGGTCGACGTAAATGTACCAGCATTGAAACAATAGTGTACCAGGGGCACTAATTGCCCGAATATGGTTTTATATGAGGGCGGGGCCATTGTCCAAATATGGCGTACATTTCCAAACACGGAAAAATCAGCTGTATATATGTAAGACATTAGCTATGATGATAATTATAAGACTTAAGAGCCATTCGGCACACTAAAATCTTGAAAAACGTTCACAGTCTACTATATGGTAACCATGGTAACCTGAAAGATGTTAGTATTACATTCTCGTGATACTCAGCTAAGCAGTAGCGTGCAGTGGTGCGACGAAAATGAGTTGCATTTCCCTTCTGGTTTGTACGTACAGAACATGCAATCCTAGACTCCAATGCAGGTGTTTCTTTGCATACGACGCAGTTTCTTTTGTCGTGTGTAGCGATGGGCAAGTGTGGTGGTGGCTTTTTTTGTAAAGCAGTGTGCTACTGCAGGAGTGCTAGTTTGCAGTGGAATGCAGGCATCATGTGGAATGCAGGCATCGTCATCGATTTCAGAAAGCTGCTGCACAACATTGAGGCGGTATTCCATCTGGGAAAGTGAACGATCACCGCCAATGACTCCAGGATGGCCAGCACGTCATTGCTCAAATGTTATGAATTGACGAGGGCTACTTCTACAAAATCAAGAAAAAGAGTCTTCCAAAACTGTTTGGTCTTCCGAAGTATGCGATATGAGGCCACCAGCTGATCAAACTTACAAACGCCTCCCATTGCCATGTTGTACACTTGAATTGTCTCGGGTATCGGGACTGTGATGTTCTGAATTTGCCCAAGCTCCTTCACAGTTCTGTTCTCATTGGCATACTCTGTGGCACTGTGGGTGTTTGAGATCATGGTGACGCACCACTTGTCCATCCGGTGCAATTGAATCAGGCTTCCATCTCCCGCATATCGCATATCTGATCTCTTTGCACGCCGTTGACGCTCCTTCAGATTTCTCAGGGATTTACCGATGCCACGGCGGTTCACCTGGAAGGTACCACATACCCTTGTTTTAAAGGTTCGAAAGCACTCAACTTCATGTTCTGGATTGAAATCGTCAGGAAAGTGACAACCAGGCTCACAGATTGGGGTGAATATTGGTAGTTCGGATCTCTCGTCGTCATCCTTCAACCCAGCCCTACAAATTGGCAGGAGCACAGGAGGTAGACACATTGAAGCGCTGCTTTGGCAATGGTGCGACGTGGACCTTCCCCGACCGCAATCAGGTGAACACCAGGCCTCTTGTCTAGTGCCACAAAGCGCGCCGCAACAAAAGGGTTAAACAGGACTTGGTTGATTGACAGAATGTTTATATGGTCACGGCCTGACCAGCGCTGATACGCCCCTGACATCAGCCAGCTGCATGCTGCACTGCTAGTGTTGCCAAGGCTAAGGATTGGCTATATCATAACACTGAATTCAGCTTGGCATGCCTTCACCACTTGCTGTGTCTGGACAGGTGCCCGAAGTGGTTATGGTGTTGAGTGTCGGTATTGAGCTCTTGTACGGTTCTTTGTGTTTCTTCTTTGTTTTCCTGCGGCTATATGAACTGCTAGTCACGTACTGAACTCAACAAGAGGCTTGCATCTGTGAACAGCCACTTACAGGAACAGGTAAGATCTCTGGGCAATGTCAGGTGTGCATTACATTTGGTACACTGGCAATGACAATCCTGAGTTTAGTGCATAGGTCTATTATGTCCTTTTGTGTCATCCTTTAAGCTGGCCTGTTCGCTGCTGGGTTGGATGTTTGCCGGCATTGGTGCAGTACTTGCAGGATACGTGTGGGTAAGGCAAGTGCGCTAGTGGCAGCAAGACTGCCAAGAGTCCAGGGGTTTTGGACTCTTGGTGGCAGTGCATAGTCTTTGCGATCCGACCATCTCACCTGCTGACGCTATGAAAACGCATTCTCCATGGCAAAAGGTTCGAATTTCGAATTTTGGCATACGTGACTGCGATGTGTGCAGAATGTGGCAAGAGGTGTCTCAAAAAGACTGAAAATGATACAACGTCATTTCAAACTACCATCCCCACGTACATTATGAATTCATTGCCATGACAATAATGCTATGGCCGATCCACTATGAGCAAGTTGTGACCTGACATCATGTGTGTGCTATCTTATCCATACAGGCAAGCTCTCGGATCGCACTGGTGAAGATGCACTCCGACACCATGACCAAAGCGCACTCAGAGCATGGTGAAAAACTCACAACCGTGAAGGCTGAGCTTGAGCGCACCGAGTCACAACTGCGCGAGTCCCAGCTGAACCTGGAACTGGCACATGCTGATACCAGCAAATACAAGGTAAGATGACATCATAGCTGAAAGTGAGATGACATCATACCGCTGGTAGACATGTGCATATACTTCCTCCAGAAACAAAACGTCATGACTTCGATCGGCCTCTTACTTCTGATGAATTGAGCTCTGAGGAAACGAATAAAGAATTTCGATTTTGTTTCTGGTGAAAGTGCTTGTACTGGTACAGTACTGGCCAGAGAAATCCAACCTCATGACTAAAATGGCGCCGGGCGCTACACAGCCCTAGCACTACAGACACTGTTCTGTTCACTCGAACGCGGCGGCGCTACTTTATTCATGAGGTTGGATTCCTCTGGCCAGCCCTGTCTGTACTTGGTTTTTCAACTGGTGTGCTATACCCTGGTCACTGTAAAGAATTTTGTTTATAACCTGGAACCACCTATTGTACGGGCAAAACTCAAAACAATTCATTGAAAACCGGCACGTTTGGGCTGTCCGCCTTCTCCTTGAAAAAAATAAAATTGTCACTGCTAATTAAGTAAGGATTTCTAATAGTACCGGCTGTAGTGGCTGGAGTGGCTGGAGTGAGCATAACATATGTATGCAGCCTTAGCCAACCGTTCAGTTCTCCTATCCTAAAGTCTCTCTCTCTCTCTCTCTGTCCTATTTCTGTCTGTGAAGAAACTTTATGAAGCCGAGGCAAGGCACAGTCAGTTGCTATCCAATCGACTCGTCAAGCATAGCAAAACAGATCATCAAAGCACAAGACTAAGGTTAGTAGTACTTTGAACTGGAAGTGGAGCTTCGACTGTCTACAGAACAGCTATACATTGTATAATGGTAGTATCAAGAGTACATAAGGAAGACTACAAATGTTCTGCCCATTTAAATTTCGGCCTCCCAGGGCTAAAATCCTTTTCGGTCGCATCTAATTTACGGCCTGTACTGCTGCCGCCCGTATACACTGTCACACTGAACCTTGCAAAGCGAAATTTCGGCCGCAACACATTTTCAGCTAAACATGACCAGGCCAAAAATAGCCAAACAAATGATGTGCCGAACATTTGCTGACTTCCTGTACCTTTCTATGGGGTCCGCCGATGGCGAAAACTCACATCACGTGGTGTAGTGTTCCTGTTGCACGTTCCCAGTCCGTTTTAGTGACCAGTGGAGTTGAAAAATAGCACTCCTCACAGAAACCCACTCGGCTTCAAGTCATGCGAGTTATCAGCATGATGTTGGCAGATAACAGTTATTCGGATTGGGCGCATGCTAAACTTAGCTGTACCAAGCACAAATCGCACCTGGAGCATGTGATGTGAGTTTTCGTCGTCGGTGACCCTGTATGCAGAATTGCATGCTCCTGGGAGCGTATTTACTCTTGGTAGTACTGTACTTTGAGTAGGCTTCGATATCAAAATACATGTACAGCTGCAATTCCATTGGAACAGAAAATGCATATACAGCTGCAATTCCATTGGAACAGAAAATGCATGTCGAATGTGCTAACTTTCTTGTGCAGAACAACCCATTCTCAATTTGCTGGTGCTGACGATGCACGTGCACATGGCTCAACATTGACTGCAGAAATGCTTGGTACCACAAGCCAGTCAAGATCGAGGGTGAGTCAGGGAAACTAGCTACACGGTGCTCTTTGTGTGCATGTATGACGACGACTGTGTGTGTGCGTGTTACTGTGTGTGCATGCGTATCTATGTGTTACTGTGTGTGCTTTAACGAAGGATGTATGTGTCAGTGTGTGTGTGTCAGTGTGTGTGTGTGTGTGCGTGTGTGCGCGCGCGCGCGTGTGTGTGCGTGAGTGCGCACGCACGTGCGTGCGTACGTGTGCACTCAGCTCATGGATTCAGGGTAGCCGGGTGTGATTTTCTGCAATTCTCTTGAAACCCTTTGCCAAGAAGTCTGAGGGCATGGCGACCGAGCAAATCTAGCTGAAGTCACGATCTGTTGAAGAAAAAAACGGAAGTTGGATGTTGACAAAATAATACTATGGTTCTATGGTTATTATGGTGTCACTGTTCAGGCACATGGAACTGCTGGCACATCCACTGGTCTTGGTGGAAAGCTTGGACATTCTTCAACATTGGGAAAGGTGAGAGGGGCATCAGCAGCCGAATGTACAAATACAATGATGTAATCGGAACTATAGTGCATTTATGGTGTTTTACGTCAACCTTGACGGCTACAATGGCCAACCAGACCACAACGAATTTGGGGCCAAAGAGAAAGTTTATTTCTTTCCATGCGAAAATATACAGAGGCCACTTTTACGAAAAATGATTTATACATGTATACACAAAATGCATGTACATGTACGAGAGGTCACTACACATTCCCGAAATCTGGGCCCATAGGTTTTTCACAGTCTCACTCCATTCTTATTGAAGATAGTGAAGTCGATGAATTACATAGGAATGAATGCAGTGAAATTTGATCAAGATATGTGCAAAAAGTATTTTTTCAGACACATAATTGTGACAGATCGCGTATGATATGCATTGACACAATAGTGACAAAACATTTGATTACTATTAGTATCGTGCAACTGTTCCGCTGCTGTTCCTTGGCTAGAGATCGCCCGCATGCGTACTATGCCGGGTGCCTCTCCAACCTGCTCGAACCTGGGCCATCATGGAGAGTTCGTTGAGATGGTACACATACATGTAGTTTTAGTGTACAGGTCGTCCCCCGTTAATACGAGTCCGGTTAGTACATAAACCCCGTTAGTACATAAGAAATCTCAAGTCCCGGACGAAACGTGGTCACTTCCATACAAATTTTGTCGGTTAGTACATAATTCGTTAGTACATAAACCCCGTTAGTACATAACATTTCTCCGTACCCGCATGCCACCTACCTCAATAGTACATAATTCGTTGGTCTTTTGGCCTTCCAGTGGAGGCACGTCGTGTTCTAGTTTCTACTTGTGGACACAATTAGCTCAGAAATCAGAGCGCACATCACAAACCGACAAAGCTCTGTTTTTTTTAGAGTGACTGTACAGGCGCGGCTGGGCATGTAATGTATCATGTAGAATCTTCGCTGACTGTGACCGTTATAACATAATTTTTATGTTATATCGAGGGAATCAAGAATATCTCGCTCCCTAGTCATGGCAGCAGGAAACACTCAGAAAAGTTGAAAAAAGTGAAAAATTCTGGTATACAAGCAAGTTATGTACACTTTCGTTTAGTACATAAACCCCGTTAATACATAACATTTGTCAAGTCCCAGAGATTATGTATTAACGAGGGACGACCTGTATCAGGCGCCCAGATTAGGCGAATGCACTATAGTCCAGGCAGCAAGCTTTGCACTTCAGGTCGGATTTCACACAACAGTTTGATTCGGCTCGTAATCGTTTCGTTGAAAACAGATCCAGGTTTCGCAAGTCGTCGGGTGTTTACACACACATGCATGGATCATGGAATCAAGGGGAAAAATGTGTACCTGACAAAACATGTGTACCTGACGGATTCGGAGCGCGCCACGAATGAAGAGGCTTCCATTCGTGAAAACGAGCTCTCCGCAGGGACTCCTCGAACCCAGGTGACGAATCAGCATTCGTTTCGTATCCGTACGCGTGGTGCGAAAGGTCCCCATTTGCTTTTTTGTTTTTGTTTTATCCCTTGCAGAAACTGTAAAGAACGAATCCCAAGGAAGCTGAGAGTAATGGAAAGATCTTGTACATATGTACACTACAGTTTGATGTCCATATTTCAAAGTTTCATGCATATATGTAAAAGCTGTACTATTTAGTGAGCACACCACCATTGCCCAATGCCTTCTTGATTATTTTCTAGCGCTAAATGCTACTGAGTAGACCCCCCCCCCCCCCCAAATCTCCCCTTCCTGCTCTGTACAAACTTCACAGCACATTATCTTCTCTTTAAACAACATTTTTCTTAACAAGCTTTTTCAAACTACTCTAATCTCTCCCTCTAGTCTCACACTGCATAAAGTTAGGAGATTCGGTGAGTATTCCTGTCAATATATTTGCCAAAAGAAACAAAAAATCTAAAAGTACGGGTCTGTATGCACTTTCAAAAAGCAAGAAATAATAAATGACGTTGGCGAACAAAGTGGCAGGCAATGATTAAACGTGACGGGGCAATTAATATTATTACAATGGCGGGGAGGGGACAATGATTGTTCTTTTTACTTCTTCATCTCACGGGCAACCTGGTAGCCGGCAATCTTGTTCCAGTCAAGCTTCGTGCGAGTGACGGGAAGAGCTCGCCGCAGAGCCTTGAACGATGTTGAGGACATGGTTGTGTAGTTCGAGCCGATACCAGTCTACACATGGATGCACACCAAACACAAAGATGAAATAAAACAAACTGTACAGATAGCGGTAATGTCACGCATGATTCAGCAAATGCTGTCACTACATAGACACTCACATCTCACTTATCAAGACGGCAAACGCATGGGCACCTCGGTCTACCAGGTACCCTGATGGTGAGATTCAGTGGAAATATCACAAATGCTCCTTTGCCAATATTATTGTGGAAATACTGACGTCATGCACCAGATTCATATGCGATTCAGAAACTCCTTATTAGCTGTATAGCCTCTCCTCCCCTGGCCCTACATGACAGGTCGACCAATCTCAGCCAATCAGAAACTGCCATTCACCCGAGGCGAGAAATCAGAGCTGCTGAGGGGAGAATTGAGACTGGTTGACCAATCATGTACATGCCAAGGTCAGGGCAGGAGAGCCTGTAAAGCGTAGAAGGAATTCAGAGCTACTGTATGTGACGGATAAACGCCATGGTTGAGAGTTTTATAGACCATATAAACATGCATAAAAACCGGGGCACAGCTGAGGTTTTTATAACTTGTTTTATTACCTATAAAAACGAAGCCGAGTTATTTATCCTATGCAAATCTACCTTTCATACAAACTAACATTGTAACACCTTTCGATGGGCCATCTTCCTCCATTTAATACTTTCAGGAAGTTGCATAGTTTGGGTACCAGACTGTTGCAGCAACAATGTTCGGCATCTGCAGCACTGTCGATGGGTGATATACAGGGTTGGCTGGGATACACATTGTAAGTCTTGCTCGTTCTAGGTTGTCGTACTTCTTCCAATTTTGACCGGGACATTTCTGGGCGTATTCGTTACAAAGGAATGCACATGTCACATTGTGCAAAGAAATGCGGCAAGCAAAGCAGGGTAGGAACGTACCTGGTAGTCGCTCTCTGCTGCTGACACAATTTTTACAATCGCCTTGGCTGTGGATGCCTCGTCCTGTTGGTACAATGTACAAAGTAGAGACAACACACAAGATTAATATGCATTCACAGCAGTGGGTATTAGTGAAAGAGAAAACATGTACCGAACTTCTGCTTTATGAAATCCAATCAAGCGAGTCAATGCCACGTCTGGTGCTGTGCAGCCCTAGACCTGCAAACACCGGGATGTGAACTGGTGCAGGGCGCAGACTTGATCCACGGAAATCGGATTTCACTGAGCAGCCATACTGAGTACCGGGAGCAGTTGTTTCAAATAGAAATGAAGGCTCTTCGAACCTTCCACTTCGTTCACCCCTAAAAGCAAGCGCTGAGTTTCATGGTTTTATCTGTGGCTCTACGTGCACATCCATGGAGATAAGTGCAGAGAGTACTAAAAGCAGTACGATCCGACTTCGCGCTATGTAGATGTCGGATGTGCACGAGGCAACCACATCGTATACGTGCGAAGGACGTACGGTGGGAATGCCGTAGCGCTTTCCCACGTCCCCGGGGATGTGGTGTCAGACTGTATTATACATGTAATTCAAGGCGAGTCAGTTTGTTGGCAACGCTTCTGGTGATAAGAGAAGTGAAGTATTCAATGAAGCAAATGGCAGAAGATCATCAATTGAAAAAACAACAAGCCAAGACTGTTACAAGAGTGTGCAACACCGCACATGGGTCCTGGACAGCGCACTGAATGGCTTGCTTCATTTTTAAACATAAAGATAGGGTGAAACCGAACATGACGCAAACAACAAATTTGCACTTCCAGAAACTCATACATGGAGTTGCCTAGTGTATGTACTCTTGGTATCAACAAGAGTACATAACCTCCCAGAGTGTGCAACTCCCACATATCCTGCTGTCCCGACAGAATTTCAAGGTGACGTCATTTTTATGATGCAATGCTTCTTGCACCAGTGATTTACGACATTCGTACGGGATGTCAACACAACGCATGTTATTCTTTGCACTAATTTGTACCGGATCAAACGGGGCTTTGTCCACCACGGGTTCAGGATACGTCTGATAATACATGCACAGTGCGCATTGCATGACAAAAATGACGTAAACTTGAAATTCTGTCGGGACAGCAGGATATGTGGGAGTTGATGATACAAAAAAGTCGACATCTCTAAAGCACGTTCTATTGATAAACCACATCCTTTGGAGGTTATTGATGACAGTGTGGTGTGAACACACGGTGCCACTGCAACAGTTCTTTTGGTTATTTATGGAGTTTGTACATTCAAATCCTGGCAGAGGCACGCTAGGAGACAGCACAGAACTCTCATGCAGGTTAACACGACTATGTTAGTGAAATGTCCCATAGTTGGGGGTGAATACGTACAGAGATTGTGACGGACTCCTTGACCTCCTTGGAAGACACGAGTTGCACATTACCGTCTTCGTAGTAATGTACCTGCATAGACAACAATACAGCATTGAGATCATGCTCAGTTCAGGGTTCGCACAGGAAATTCACGACCAAATTTATTAACTTTTTCAAAGCCCTTTCCAAACTTTCCATAACCGAACACAAGCCAAAGAACGCACAGAAGTTGAAATGGTCCACTGCCCGAACAGGCAAAAAGAATTCCGGACAACGGCACAAATGTATACTCACTACATAAAATACAAAACGTGCAGGACAGCTGCCACGCGTAGAACACAAGCCAAAGAAGGCGCACACGCTGAAAAGGAACAGCCGGAAACTTCTTTTTCCAAAACTTTTCAAACTCTAACGCAAATATCATAGTTTTCCAGGTCCTTGAAAACATCACTGTGGATAAGAGTCATACTGTAGCTCAGTTGGTTAGAGCATTGCTCGCGAATAGCAAGGTCCCTGGTTCGAGTCCCGGTGGTGTGACTGATGTCTTTTTACTTTCTTTCATATCTGGCTTGCAATTGTTGAGTTTCGGAGATAAAAGAGCAGTACGTGGCATGTGGCCTCAAATTTCCTAAAACCTTGAAAACATGTTTCACAATATGATATCATACATTTTCCAGACTTTCCATAACCTGTGCGAACCCTGTCAATTTCACCAAATGCAGGGTAGCAGAGTAACCAAATTTCCTGAACAGCACTCTAAGACATTTCATTATTATTTCGTTTTGAGAAATAGACAGCAGGTATAGGTTTCGTCTATACAGGGACAGTGTATGAAGCAAGAAGTCAATTGATATGGTCAGAGCCTCACATCACGCCTGTACCCTCTTGGGCTAGGGACACTTGACAGTACAGACCACACGCTGTTGTTCTAACTCACCTGTACTCTCATTACACCCTTCAGCTCAACAGAGCCACTGCCAGAGAATGACACTGTCCATTCTGTCCTCCAGCGGCCATTGCTGTCAAACACACAGACAACATAATAATATAATATCCCATAGGGGTGAAAGTTGGCACTGAGATCCCGAGTTCGGGTACTCTGATTTTTTCCGATCGAATATTCGAGTATTCTTCATCTCCTAAAAATTGCACATCAGGGGCCTTAAAATCACATGATACAACCCTGATTGAACCGAGTGGCAGTCATTTTACTCGGGTCTATTGAATTATTGGTTGGTGGGTCATTTGGGCTCTCTCTACTCATGAACAAATGTTCACCACATAGTCACATCAATATCTGCAGACTGCTGCACTGAAACTATAGATTTCTGTGGAAAATGCATGCACCATGTAAGAACGAGTACGATTATTTTTGAAAAACCCGAGCGATTACTCGAGTATTCGGTATAATTGTTTCACCCCTAAATATTATCCCAGCATACTGATGCAAGACCACCAGGACAGAATAGTACATCCACAGACAGAATCAAAGGAACAATGTAGTGGAGACCAGGAATGGGCAGGATGAGAAACGCAGGCCCAGCACCTCCGGACAATAGCATAACCCATTACAACGACCCCTTGGTTGGGTTTCGGAAGTGGGGCGGATAAGCGAATCCCGGCTGGAGGTCATACATCATGAGCACTGCACACACATTTCAATGCCAAGCGACTCAAGAATCATGAGCTGGCTAGTGCAGGAACATGTGTGATCCTACAGTACTGTCAATGGCCAAAGAACATTATAATGTGCACTCAGAGAGTCAGAAGTATCTCTGCATAGGCTTGGATGATACATTTCTGTAGTGTCATGGTAAGTAAAAACATGTGAACTGGCAGGCGTGCACATGCGTAATTATGCAACAGTCATGTACCGATACATGCATGTACGGTCAACATGTTAACTTTCATACATACAATGACATGTACATTGTACATGTATAACTGTACCATAGAAGAACGAAACGACTGGGCTCGCGAAAAATAGGAACGGGCTAGGCTAGAACCCTAGATACAGGGTTGTGCGCAACCCTGCTTTGGTTTCAACTCTCATGTGGTCACTTTGCACTGTTCACTAGCGTAACCTTTTGAACCAGGCCACGTGATGTGAAGTTCTACCGTCGCAGCACTGTATAGAGGTTGTGCAGGAAGTCGCACATTCTTGGGGGTTATGAACTCTTGGTGCTAGGGATGGATGAAGTCAAAAACAAGTACTCACCAGAAGTTGTTGGGCCGGAATCTGTGGTCCTCGATGCAAGCAACGATGGTCTTCTGAGAGCCAGACGATTTGCCGTAAACCTAGGCCATGAAGCAGAACAGGCAACCAAATGGATTGCAAACTACCCAGCTGAGTGAACAACGAAACGCACTATGCAAAGGGGTTAACGACTACAGTCCATTCAGAAAAAATGAACTAGCTTTTGGCCATAAATGGGTCAAACTTTGAGTTTTTTTAGAATTTTTTTGGCAATCCCCTATGGAATCCTCTTCCAATTATGTTTCTGAAGTTTTTTTGTCCAAAAAGCAAGCCATAGCAAGAATAGGATTTCGGCCAGGTTTTGCCCCAAAAGCACAGAATTGGGAAAACCATCAAAATCCAGGCCGTTTGACCCCGCCTGGCAACAGTGCATTCTGCGGTTCGAACCCCAGTTCAGGCACCCTTTTTGGACCCTTTTTCAAATTTCAAAGTTCGCAGCACTGCACTGTGTACGATGAAATCACGAAAAACCGCCAAATATGGGAGCTCGCCAGAGCCAGAGCCCATCTTTTTATGAATGGACTGTAAGTTGTATTCTTGTCATATGACATTACAGAAAAAGTGACCGGACAAAAATGAAGCTACCTCACAGCAACTCCCGAAGGCCACGCGCCAGTAGGACACACCAAAACACAAAATGAATTCCTGCTTCCACATCGTGCTTGACATCATATGCACGGATTGAAAACAATAGAGAGGTTCCGGAGTACGAGTTTTCGTGTCAAAATCCGTAGAGGCGCTGCGGATTTTTATACGTTTTATACGTCGTTTTCGAGCAGTGAAATGTTCCGGAGTACGGAACTTATGTGTTTGCCGTCATTGCCTAGGTTACGATCGCAAACACGTCATATTCCCGCGCTATGCCTTTCTATTTTGAAAATTTGTACCGAAATCCAAACTTCCCGCGGAAAATCGTGTTTCTCGTACCAAATTTGTACGCGAAAAATCTTTCTGCATTCGATGACGCAAATCTCCATACGAAACATGGTTCGTATGAAAGACTGTCCACATGGATTCTCCGTGCTGAAAAATCGTATGGAGCACGCCTCGTAAAAATCCGTAGCGCCCATACGGATTTTGGCACGGAAAATAGTACCCCAGAACCTCTCTAATAACACTGCCGGTAGTCACGGCTTTACTGAGACGAGGAACAAAGACTGAACATGATCCCCCCCCCCCCCCGATCCAGAAAATATATTCTGTATCAGCAAACATGCGCATGATTTTGGCTCCACATAAAGTTGAATTCAATCATGGACAACCACAAACAATGTGGGCCCGACAGCCACTCTGTTCCTTCATTGCAGCATAGAAACTTACAGCACCAGTGCCATCAGGGTAGTGGTCAGCAACGTAATCCTTCCATGCTGATTCCAACGCAGAGCGAAAGCTTTCTGAGCCGCTGTCTCCACTTCCGGCTTTTACATCGCTAGCCTCCTGTAAGGGAAGACATAAAGATAATGCACACAGCAAATAAAGACTTGGAGAGAAAGCAGTAGATGCACCTGCTACAAGTTCTAACTCGGAGTTCTACACATTAGTCAATGATCAGCCAACAGACTTGGACAGTCAGACTCCAGATCCTACACAATGTCTGGAGGTGCAATGTGAGCATGGATTAGAGGCAGTGGCGACACGGGTACACGAAAGCAAGAGCACACAGTGGCGTGCGGCATGCGACTTCCAACACCACTGCTGTCCTGGCAGAATCATCCAATCAACGTCACATCAATTTTACGATGCAACATGGAATGTACACTTGTTTTAGGCACCTCCAGCGAACAGTGGTGGACATTCTGCAGTCTGATCGGAAATGTATGTACGTGTGCATTCAAGCCTGATGCAATGACAATTTGTACAAGCGCCAGAAACCATGCATACGAGGAGCATTGCATCAGTTAACATATTAGCATGAAATTCTGCAAGGAGAGTACTGCATGTGGGAGTTGCAAACTCGTGGGGGTTGTACTCTTGATGGAAACCAGAGGGTGTACACTCTGTATAGGTGTCTGTCATGGCAAAACTACTGGATTGCGTCCTAGGTTACGAAGAGGAATGATGCAGAGTTGTGCAGTGCAACATGAGACCTGCTTGAATCTCACTTGTATTGATGACATCATTTTATTGCATTCGGTAATCCAGGACAACCACCCATTCCAGCTGCACACACTGGTGCACATGCACTTTTGGAAACGCAATGCATGTGCTCAGTATTGAGCGGCAACTTCTGTCCGCATTGCAACTGATGTGCACAAGTTGTGGAGCACCACCATAAAATAGTGAGCAAGCACCCATCCACGCCAAAACTTCATAAATGAATAGTCGACTGCTCGTTTGTACTAGTACGAAAAGACTACAGCAGAGGGTTCGTTATTAGAGAGTAAATTGTTGTGCACAACAGGGCGGGCGTTTATTCGAACAACCAACGCTCATTGTCAGTTACCAAACAAGACACAAGGCCATACTAGTATACCGTACTACACAAGTTGAAGAAGCCAAGTCTTCACAAGATGACACATTGTTGACTATCAACAGAGAAATTGAAATGACTGACTGCCAATATTTAATAATCGTAAACCACTACTATGGCGCCACACGCTTTCTTCTTGTTGTTGTTGTTGTTGTAAAAGTCATGGCACAGAAGGTTTGGTACCAGATCATCTGGACATGAG